AACTGTATTGAATTTTTAAAAATCAATTCAATCTTTTCTGAAGCCACAAAGATTAAACTGCTATCAACATAAATATACATTTATTCCTTGGCTTTGCTACAGATCAGAATTAAGATTCTTTGGATAAACTCACTCAATAGTTCCAAACCAGTATATATTTACTTTTTCATCTAAACATAATCCTGATGTAAAATCCTTATGAGACTTTTAAATTCTTAAATAAATCACAGATACTTTTAATTTTAGCACAGATTTCAATTTTATTATTTTTTTTAATTTCCAATTCTTTGACTGTTTGGTCTGACAAGAAAAATTTAAAGCCTCAAACTATCAACAGAAATAAAAATATGAAAAATATATTACATGATTTTTTTTGGTTCTACTTCTTGGTCAGCTCTGAAGAAAGCATCATGGGAACAGGCAAACTGTACTTTAAATGACTGCAGAAATTAAGTAGGATTAACTTTATTTAGCTATTTGTAAGCTATTGTGCAAATCATAAGTTGTATTTCAGTTTCAAAATATTAATTTAACTTTTACTTTTTTAATGGCACAATTGCTGAGATAAATGAAAATTTTATAAATGGAAATTTACTTGACATTTCTGTACATCTTTTATACATAACATTTGTATATGTGATTGTCCTTCTCCTCCCCCACTAATATAACTAAGGGTCATTAAGTAGGCATTCCTTAATAAATATAGATTCCTTCACTGGCAAAATTTGCTCCAGGCAAAAAGTTGGCAAGCAAACAGTTAACAAGAAGTTCAATGAAATGTGAATATATCCAGTCATCAATGTGTACAAAAATAATATTTGTGGGTTTAGATGTCTTTTAAGTTTCTATTGCTCAAAAATAGATATTTTTTTTTTATTGAACAATTTCAGCCTTCCATCGACTGAAATAGATGACTGCCTTAGGGCATTTTTGAAGGGGAAAACTAAATGAAAAATGACTAAAGTCCTTTGTTCAGAACTTCTGCTCTGCATATCCGGTATTTTTTTTTAAAACAGAGACATACCAGTCAATGGGGAGTTTTGCTTGCAAAAGGACTGCAAGATTAGGTTCTTAGTATGCAAGTGTGGCCAGCAAATTGGCATGATAAGACTGCAATGACCAGGACAGGGCAGTTACAGCCATCTTCTCAGCTTTCATATTTCAGAACTTGTCAGGTATTCACATTGGAGTAGTTTGTCCATAACAGGAGAGAGGGCCAGTGAGGGAAGGAGGAGAAACCTTTCACGCTGCAGGAGAGCTAGGAAGCAATACTAGCTAGTCCCGTGGTTGAGGCAGTCTGGTGCTCAGGAACAAGAACAAGGTGACCTTCTGAGAAAGTAGGAAGACTTTGGGTTTTGCTGAACTTTATTGTGGAGCTGACTGTGTACTTACCTGCAAAGCAGGTAATTAATCCAGGCACAATGGATCAAAGGTTGTGTAGAGAAGGACTAACCATCTACTCTTTGTGGCTAAGGAACAGCATTAGCAGTTAGGAGATACAACAATTTTTACTTTATTTTTGAATCGGCACAGGTGAGTTACCTAAACTGTTCCTCAGCTTTCCCTCTTGCTTGCATCTGTTAGAAGAGGCTGCTGTGAGAAGCAGTACTGTCGTTTTTGTGATGTATTTATATCAGAGCTTCATTTGAAGATGCTCTAAGAGAAAAAAGCCAGTTCCTTGTCCTGACATTTATTCTGGACACCTGGGCATGCTCTGTGCAGAATTGCAGGGGTGAACATCAGTGGAATAAGTTTTAGAAGTGGTGTTTATTTTTTGAGAAAAAGAAGAGGGAATGTTGAAGTGTTAAAATTTACATTTTTATTCAATTACAGTTATCCCTTCTTTAATGCGTATCAGCCAGTAATAAATGTGTTGAAAAAGCCCCAATCAAAAGGGAAAATCTACAAGGCTTTCTCCTCTGCTGCTGCTGCTGGCACTACCAAAAATGTTCTATGTCATGTTTTAAAATTTTTGTATTGACATCTTAGCTCATAACAGCTATTTAATGGATATTATAGTTTAACAGTTTCATAAAATACATTTTTAAACAGACCGTAAGCAGGTATTTACATAATGGGGGAATGAATTCTAAGCATTTGAAACATGATACACATTTTAAAAGGTCCTGTTTATATACACTGAAAGATTAGCTAAATTAATACACTCCATTTTGACAGAACAGAACGGAATGGAATGGAATGGAATGGAATGGAATGGAATGGAATGGAATGGAACTGAACGGAATAGAATAGAATAGAATAGAATAGAATAGAATAGAATAGAATAGAATAGAATAGGATAGAATAGAATAGAATAGGATAGAATAGAATAGAATAGTTCAGTTTGAAGTGACCTACAAATGATCATCTAGTGCAACTGCCTGACTGCTTCAGGGCTGAAGGCAGGTATTTTGTTTTTTGACATTGAATCTGTAGAAGGAACTGAATGGCATCATGAAGGGTTTCTACAGGTAGATCAACAGCAAAATGCAGACTAAAGAAACAGCAAAATCATGCCTGACCAACCTGACAGGCTTCTAGAGTGAGATGACCAGCTCAATAGACAAGGGGAGAGGATGCTGTTTAGCTTGACTTTAATGAGGCCTTTGAATCTGTCTCCAGTAGCATCGTTATAGACAAACTGATGAATTATTGACTAGACAGTAGATGGTGAAGTAAATTGAAATTTGGCTGAACTGCTGAGCTCAAAGTTTTGTGATCAACATCATGAAGACTATCAGGAGACCAGCAACTTGTGGTGTTCCACAGGGGTTGATAGTAGGTTCAACATTGCAGAATGCAAGTTTGCAGACAACAGTGAAACAGGACTGGTTGCTATACGAGACAATTGTGCTGCTTCCAGAGGGAAAATATGATGAAATAAGATGACAGGAATCTGAAAAAATTCAACAAATGGAAATGCCAAGTCCTGCATCTGGGGAGGAATAACTCCATGCAGTAATGCAAGCTGGGGCTGACTATCAGGGGAACAGCTTTGCAGAGAAGGCTCTTGGGGTCCTGGTTGACCATGAGCCACCAGCGTACACTTGCAACAAGGAAGGCCAACAGCCTCTCCTTGGGTGCACCAGGAAAAGCATTGGATCACTTGCAGCTCAAGGGTATGATTCTCCTCCTTTCCTCGTTGCTAAGGAGGCTACAACTGGAGTGCTGGGTTCCAATCCTGGACTGGCCAGTATGAGAGGGACATGGACGTTCTGGAGCGAGTCCAGCACAGGGCTGAAAAGGTGCTGAAATGACTTGGGGCATGTGAGTTACAGGAGAGTGTGAGAGAGCTGGGGGTTTTCAGCCTGGAGAAGAGAAGGTTCAGGAGATTATTCCCTCCCTGTGTATAATTGCCTGATGGAGCGGGGGGAGAAAAAAAGTGGAGCCAGGCTCTTATGAGTGATGTCCAATGACAGGCCAAGAGGCAGTAGGCACAAACTGAAATGGGGAGAGTTTCAATTCCCCTGTAATAAAAAACCTTTTTTTTACTGTCAAAGTGGTCAAACACTGCAATAGGTTGCCTGGTGAGGTTGTAGCATCTCTGCCCTTGGAGACGTTTAAAACCCAACATGGCCCTGAGCAGTGTGCTGTGGCTGACCCTGCTGTGAGCAGGGCACTTGGACTAAATGATCCCTAGAGGAACTTTCCAGCATCACCCATGATAGGTTTCTGTGGTTCAGACAGTTCATCCTTATATACTCTGCTGTGGCCATGAGAGATTTTGGAAAACTTCTTTACTCCTTTCTTTTTTTTTTTTTTCTCAGAGAAAATCATGCCATCAATAACAAAAGGCGACTCACAATGTAGTGGGCAACTTCCCACTTTGCTTTCTGATTATCTGATGGTGCTTTCTGGGCCAAGGAACTGGAGATTTCATGTCTTACACTGTTCACATTGCAAAAAATGCTCACACTGCAGTGAATTAGTGATGGTGTTGAAGCCTCATTGTGTTTCCTGGGGACAAAGGCAGTATACACAAGTATAAGCGTGCTTTTATTTTAAAGGGTTGGAGGCTGATCCTACAAACCCTTTCTAGCGTGAGTAATTCTGATACAAAGTTTTCTTCCCCAGAGCTATTCCCTTTTGAAAGGGTTACTCTTTGCAGGAACCAATCCTTATGTTGTATATGGCAGTTTAGAAACTGGACTGTGAAAATATTTCTTCCTCTAAACATAGAATAATAATGTGGATGGTTGTTAGCAATGCAATTCCTCCAGCAAATGGGAATGGTTACTGCATACAGAATCAGTTTTACTTTCATTACTTTTCAAGAGGTTACTTAAATATATATCGTATCTGCTATAGTGTAAGTAGGAAATAGAATGGGGAAAAATGAAGGCTTCTCATATCAATTGTCGTCCTTTTTTTTTTTTTTAACTGGCAGTTGTTCCTATTTTCAAGTGTTTGTTTCTACTTTAATGAGGATACCAACTTTCATCCAGAGAGATGTGTGGGTCACTTTGTTAGCGCACTTGCACACACCAAGGCAATGCACCAGCTGGAAATTTTGACTTTTAGCTGAATTATTTTTCCCCTGCAAATGGCTTTCCTTTTGACATATTTTAATGTACTTGCACACTGAGAGGAAGAGTGGGTGAACAGAAAACAGACTGTTTTATTAACCCAGCAGTCACCTTTGAGATTCATACGTGTCCACTTTTTTCTCGCCTTTGTACCTAATCCCAAGAGACTGGTACCTGGCTTCCCTTGGAATAACAAAGTCAGTCACAAACCTCCAAACATGATTGTTAACTGAATGCCAACTGTTTCTTCTCATCTTTTTTTTCTTAGTTTTTTTCAGTAGTATGTTAGGGATTGTGTCCTTATAGGTGCCCTATAACCATAACATTATTTTGGTTTTATATTTAAGAATTTATATTTTTTTCAATAGTAGAGGTACATTTTGTAAAAAATTAAATTGCTGCTTCTATTTTGTGTGTGTGTTTTATAGTGACTTTTTCGGCTCTGCTAATAGTGGAAAGGGAAGAAATAAAGCAATGCTGCAGGCACTGACTGGACTACAGTTTCAGCTCAGAGGAAAGCTACAGGATCAAGAGTGGACAGACAAGCATCCTCAAGAAGACACCCGTGCACATTATTCACAGTGTCATATGCCAGTTTCACAGTGTCCTGGGTTCAATGGATTTTTTCCAATGGGAACACACTTCTCATCAGACAAAGCTCCAGCAATCTCAGAGGTACCTAAATTATCAACTGATATTTGTAAAGCAGTTTTCTGAATGCCATGTTATCTGCAGAAATCTGTTCTTAATTGTAGCATAATTAGCTCATTTTGAAGTGGACCCAAATGAAATGCAAGGGGGAGGTAAGGGGTAAAGCTGTTGCAGTTAACGTCCTAAAAAATACATAGCAAGGAAATGCCGGGGTATTGACTAATAGGTTTGTCTTCATTCTGCCTCAAAGCATGCTCCTTGAATCATTTATCTTTGGATCAACTCTATAATGATCTAGGGCTGACATCTTACACTCCGTCTTCCCTTTGGATGGTGGAATGTCTCTGTAGTTTTCTTTCCAGGCAGCAGACAGGCTGAGGTCTCGGGTGAGGGGAGAAGGAACAGGGCCCAACAGCTCCATGTTTGCTCCCAGGCAGCTTCTCATGATGGGGGGAGAGGATGCTGCCTCCTGGTACATCTGGTTTTGACTGATGTGGTTTGGGCATCAGCCCTTTGGGAATACATTTGTTTTCATGCTCTCTTGATAACCTGGGGTGTTCCTGGACTGTGGTCCCAGTGTCTCCCAACCCCAAGGACAAGCAATGGGGAAGTGGTTTGGTACAGTGGCCTCGGCGTTGGGACGATGTCACACTGGCTGCCCATTACTCGGCTTCAGCAGAGCCTGCACAGGGCTGCAGAGCCACCCTCTGTAAGCCACGCCATCTCTTGTGAGCTGTGCCTTACAGAATTGATGCTTAAAAACCATCACTGAACAGGTCAGACGGCTCCACCATATTTCTCTCTATTTGAATGGGAAGTAACCGTGGTATTTCAGATACCACATGGTGGCAGCTGCTGATAAAGGCTGATACTAGTTTGTTTTTTATTTTTAAAACTAAGGAATGCTTAATTGCAGCGAGTGAAGAAGCCAGGTAGCCATTTCAGAGATGCTAAAACAGAAATGGTCTGATATCTTGGTATCTGATGCAATCTTTCTTTCTCATTTAGCCATGAGAAGGAAAATAAAAAGTTGAGACTCAGCTACTATCCAAACTCTGAATCCAACAATGAATATATTAATGAACTTTCCCTCCAATTCTTGCCACTCCCTTTCTCTTCTGGGCTCCCTCTACCCTCCTGTTCCTCCAGTACTCCTCACTGTATCCCAGAGAAAAAAAGTTTAAGAAAAATAATAAAGTTTTTATTTATTCCTTCCAGCTTTTCTGCCCCCGGGGGAATTTGTCTGCCTGTCTGGCTAATGCATTGTAATGAATCTACTCTCTGCCACACATACATGTATCGTCCTCTCAATCAGTGAGAGGAAATGCTGAGTATGGTGAGCACTCAGAGGGGTCAGTACACCAGCACACTACAGTGGCATGTTACTTTCCCTACAGGCTGCTTTAATTGGGGAAACATAAATAAGGTGGTGTGTGGCTGGCACCATGTCTTCTTGCCAATCTCCCTGCTTTGGCAAACTGATCCTCCCTGCTTCAACTTTCAGGGCAACCCTAACCCTCCTCTGTCTTCTGCTGGAAGGCAAGTCTTTCTCAAGCCCTTTGGAGTCTTTGGGTTAACTCTGAGGTCCTAACTCTGTAGTCTCTGGGGAAGGTGGAGCTGCTGGAGAAGCTTGCTTGCAGAACCTAGCAGGGGATCAAAGGGTGCTGAAGAGCCCATAGGTACAGGAGGTTAGAAATACAAGGAAAAGAGAAGTGGGAAAAGGTGGGGAAATGGTAAGGAGGGGGCTGAGGAAAAGTAAAGCAAAGGGGGAACAGGAAAGAGGAATGGCAAAAGAAGTAGGAGGTAGGGAAACTGGAAGGACTGAGGAAAAATGGTGAGAAACAAAGTAAGAGGAGAGAAAAAAAAAAAGAAAGAAAGCAGTAATGACAAAAAAGACATGAAAAGTTTCTGGAGAGAAATCTTAGAAGTGGAAAAAGATAGAGATAGCTAAAACTACTCCTGTGTAGAAGTCAGGGTGGACAGGAAGCAACATCTCCAAAAGGTCTCAAAGACGATCAGGTCACCAGAGAAATTTTTCAAAGAGAAGTTTAAGATTTTAGACAAGAAATGATACCCAATCCATAATTAAGAAGAGTGTTTGAAGTTATTTTCCTATAGATATCTGACTTCTAGACATCATTTCTTTTCACCCATTTGTAGGCTGCCAGCATACCATTTAGGACTAACTCATTGCTCTGTAGCAAGACTTACAATTGAGGAAATTTTCTACCAGAGGCTTCACAGCAAAGCCAATCTGTCCTTTGTTGCATATCTGGAAGGTGAAAAGGAATTTTTTCGGAAGAACAGAGGAATTATAGATCTCTGAGGGGTTATGAAGTGTAAGGTGGAACTTGGAGTCAACAGCATGGAAGGACAGACTATTATACCTTTCTGAAAATCCCACATTTTCTTTGCATGCGCAGAAGTTTTGGTGTTGGTAGGTGTAGCATGTTTGCATGGCAGACAAATGATAAAAAATCTTAAAGCAGTTTTTCATTGCCCAAAGTGAGCATTAAGGAGGAATCCATCTTGAGTGAAAATTTACCATAAAATACCATTGAGAGTACCTGTCTTTGAGATCAAGGATTTGGAAAGGTGGCAAGAAAAGGTTAGTTTCGTATTTTACAAAAACAGTAACAAAGGCCTAAGAAAGAGAGTTCTAAGTCTGAGGCCTTATGCTGAGCCCTCTTTTTATGACACAAAACCTGGATCCAGATTAATTTCTGTGTTGATCAAGAAGAGCCACCTATACTCTCCAGGAAAGCAGGTTAACTTATAGAAATACCAAAAGCAATAAAAGAACTACCAGATTTCCTCCTGCAGTATTTGTAAGCCCTATAAAGCAAGAAACTTTGGCTTTAGCTAACATCTGGATTTAAGATTTTGAAAGAAAATCCAGAGGAAAGTAGGATGCCTTTTGTGACTCAAAAAGTTTGACTTCTGCTCTTGAATGAATGCCTGATGAGGGGAAGGGCAATGTGAAGTGAGAAATGCCATCCTTCAGCCAGTGGGCAAAGGGCAGGTTCCTGCTCTCTGTGTTTACACCCCCCTGCCCTTTTCTGAGGAGTGTTCCAGTATCTTAGACAAAGTTCAACTTAGATAATGACTAGGAACACTCTTTGAATGATAATTTATTTTCTTTAAGAATGTCTTTTATCAAATATTAGTTTGGGTGGAAATTTTGGTGTCTTTTATTTTTCAAGCAATCAATCAAAGCAAACTATTTAACACTTCAGGTTGCCACTTATCATGTTCCCTCTCTCATCCTTTAATGGATACATTTGAATGGAGATTAAATTATTTAATTAATATGTATATTCCTTCTACAACCTCTCCCTTCTTCACGACATGCCTGTTTGCTTTGATAGACTGTGTGTTCACAAGTTCAAGATTCTACTTGTCCTTTTTAAAGACCATTGGTGGCCCTCAGGTAAAAAGAGCATCATTATGCTATGCTAATTATCATCGCTAAAACCAGAAATAATCATTAAAACGCAAACATTCAAAACAAGATATATTCCCTGGCAAGAAGTTGTTGTGACTGGAAGAGTTCTGTTGTTACGGCAGTATTTTGAAAGAGTTAGCAAATTATACATCACAAATAGCAAAAGAATGGCTGCTCTGGGACTTGCTTAACAAAGAGTGAAAGGAAGTGGCATACAAAAATTTGATTTTGTCAAACTAACTTTGTATCTGTTTTGATCCAGTTTCAAGTTTGATTGATAGAGGTAAAACTGTTAATATAGTATAGTTAGAATTCTTCAAGGTGTTTGATTAGTACCCATGGAAAGTTAACTTTCCATGCAATAGTTGGATTAATAAATTAAATAGCTGACAGATATGAAAATAGATTTGGAAATGGGGTAGGAAACTGGTAAGAAGGTAAGGACTAGACAAAGAGTCCAGCAAATTATTAAAGTCTAAAAAGATCTAAATTATCATGAAAGATTTGGGGAGTACCATCTGTTTAATTTGTGTAAAATGAAGTTTAAAGGTGACCTGCAGAAAATCCACCAACAGCTGTAGAGATACCAAATGTTGAGAACAGACTCTCCAATATGGACAGCAAAGGTATGGAGGGGACAGTGGTTGGAAGCTGAAGTCCTTGGGTAAAAATCTTTGCAGCTGATTTCAGATACCTAGAAGGTAGGTATTTGATGAATACTTTCCCATAGTATTTCTCAGTGAGGCCAGAGTGATCCTTGCCTTCATATACTGGGAAAAGCTCTGCATAAGGGTCTCTCTGTTAACCAGCTTAAATCCCCACCCTACTACGATCTTCTATATGAATGGCTAACAGAGAATAATACTGTCGCAGTGACTTGGGATACTGGGGAACCTTGAAGGTAAGCTTCTCTCAAATATATCTATTAATGGCTACATTTCTTTCTGAAATAGTTGTTTTAAAGCTGCTGGGGCTTAGTTTTAACACTAACTCTTTTAGAACATTTTGTACACAGATTTTATATTTAAATACAGAATAAATCCAGTCCAAACATTGCTAGGAGGGAAGTAATGGCTTTTTTACAGTATTCTGATAGACACAAATTTCTGTTCTATTTAAAAGTCCTGTGCTGCTTGCCTTGTATTTCCCATGTAGGGAGTCTCATTTCCCTAGTATGGGCTACATCTTTCCAGTTCCTTTTTTGATGTCTGTTGGTTGCAGTGGCTCCTCACATTTCATACAAAAGTGAAAACACTTCTGAAAGCCAATTTGTTTTTTTGGTGGTTAAGCACATAATTTGATAGATTTTTGAAAGATTAGGAGACAGCAGGAAGGGAGAACAGACTGACAGTGTCTTACTACTGCCACAAAAATATATCATTTGAAAGCATGAAGATGCGCTATATACCCAAGAACATCCTTTTTGGATCCAGGTATATATCTCATCTGCCTCTACAGGCTCTGTAAGACCATTTTAGGGCCTTACTTCAGGCCATAACTCCTGTGTAAATGAAATATTAGCAGCACACAGGAACATAAAGATACTTAAGCTAGGGTAGACCGGCTGTCCATATAGTTC